TCAATTAGACAGCCAATCTTAAATGATAGTGAAATTGTGAGATTGACGATATATATTTTTCTCTTCTCAGCCCAATCAGATGAATAAGATATGAAACCTTTTATCCATCATTGTATCACTCAGAATATTCCCATCAAAATCTAGAGGACACTCTGCATTGTGTTTATCTTTTTCTTCACCAATATGGGCGATATGAGGAATTTCAAGATTAGGAGGTTCAATATGCAAAATACTATTTGAAGGTATAGGGGATGCTATAATTTAAGGACTTGTAGGGGCAGGCACCACAATTTTTGTTTCAAAAGAAAAATCAATTAGTCCTTGATCAAAGTGCAAATTGCAGCTTACAAAGATGTGGTGGTTGATTGGAGGCATCAACAAAGATCTCAATAGAAGAGCTAATGATGGAGAATACTAATGATGATATCTATTGAGAAATCAAGAAAATATAGCATGGACATATTGAAAAAAGAAGTCACACGCCTACAACTATCGATAGGAGATCTCGACAAAGGCCGTCAAACATAAGTATGTTGAATTTTGCATCGTTGACAAATGTGCCACATATGGAGGTTACATGGATGGTGATCATCACATGGTAATATAGATAGAGCATCATTTGAAAGTGTCAATGGTGGCTATTGTATGGAGATGTTAGCAATGAAAGTATCATTAATGAATTCATAATAAATGATGTTGATGGAGAGCATCGATAAATGGAGTCTATGACAAGCATCATGCCAATGGTCTCATGAATGGTAGGCATCATTCAATGACATATATGGAGCCCGGCGCATGGGGAATTTGTTGTAGAACATTTGCAAATTTAACAAAGTTTTTAGTAAAGAAGTTAATAGTGTAATCACAAAGGGATAAACATCCATCATAGTCGATGAATTCCATCAAGAAGATGTTGATGGAGGCTTTCATTCTAATACAGATGAGGCCGGAGTACTATGCAATAATGGAGACCAATGACATGTGAAATGATGAAGGTTGTCATCAAAATGTTGGATGACATTAAATTGTTTGAAAAATAACAAAACTCGACATTAAGATGGATATTAAGAAGAATGTAGTGATGACCATAGTTTAAGTTAGAACATCAGGACACATATGGTATCATTGATATGGATGGATGTATTGTTATTATAAAGGGATGGTCGAGGCTTAGTCTATGAGGCTAGAAGTGATTCACTATTTAATTTTATGTCTGGGTGGAGTTTCCAACGAGATTGATGACCCACACGAACAGCATCAATGGGGTTGTTGGCGGCAAAGAATAATAGGCAATAAAAGGCATCTTAATTTAGCAATGCTCGTTAGAGGCTAGATTTTCGACAACTAAAATCTTTGTTGATCTGTTTGTCCTCCCATTTCACCTTGAATGGAACTTTTGGTAAGGTTAAACATGGGTGGGCAGTTGAAGTTTGGCAATCTCGACAAAAGTTATAACCATGGAGGGGATGGCAATGTTATTTGAGGAGAAAGTAGAGATGGTTATAGTTGAATTATAAAAATCTCATATAGATATAGCTAAGGGAATATAACACAATAGTTCATCCACTTGATGGGTCTACTAAACATTTAAGGCTATTCAACTCATTCCTTTTTTCCCTTTAAAACACAACTTTATACCAAGATAAATATACAAGTGAAACATGGGAAATTAACAAAAATGTCAAAGAAAATAAGCATATACATAGAACAAAATAAATATTAATATGGACCACAAATAACCATAAATATCTATAAAATCACTCAATTAGATTGCGTTGCTTGAATCCTGGTGAAATTGGGAGATGGACAATTTTTTTTTCTTATTTTAGACCTTACCTTACCTGATGAATAAGCTATAAAGCCTCCTATCCATTAGTATATCATCACTCGAAATTCTCCCAACAAAATCAAGAGGAGGACCTTAATTATGATCATTTGTATCTTCAAAAATAGGAGAGAGATGAGGAACTTCCAAATTTGGAGGTTCAATATCCAAAATATTATATGGAGGTGTAATGGATATCATAATTAAAGTACTAATAGGGGTAGGCACAACAGTTTCTACTTCCGAAGAAAAAACAATTGGTCCTTGATTGTGAGTGCAAATCAGAACTGATGAAGAAGCAACAACCACTATGGGAGAAGGAATAGTTTGACCATAAGAGTACCTCTTGAGACTGAACATTTGATTTTCTTTAACTCGAATGAGCCTTAAAACAATCAACAAAAGTGTGAAAAACTATTTTGCAAGATAAGCAATAGTGGGAGATGCCTTCAAATTCAATTTTCTCCCAATAACCACAAGACAATGTGCCAATCCACATCTCCTTTGAAATTAAGAAGTAGCATCCCGTTTCATCAAGACCCTGGCGACTATTGACCTAGAAATACTAGCAGTAATACAATCAACATGCAAAGGTTTACCAAAATTAAACCTCAAAGTCGAGTTGGCTTGTTGAAGTAATATCAATTAACCTAGGAAAAGGCACCCATACAAAGGTGCCAGGTGGTGGTTCCTTGAAAGTATAAAAATGAGGAGACCATTCCAACATTCAAATTGAAAAACCATTGATATAGAAGGTAAAAGAGGAAAAGAGCATACTATAATCTGACACTAAAGAAAGCCCAACCAACAGAATATTCAGCAAAAAATTATAAATCTGAAGCAAATTTTAAAATGACATTCATGTTGGGATGACCCATCATGAATTTTCCAACAATAGAGAAAGAAAGTAGTCGTACAAGTTCAAAGAGTTATTCATTTCTTTGGTCTATATATATAGAAGGAAGAATGAATGAAGAATTAGTAAAGAAAAAACGCAAAACGATTAAAAGGGGAGTTTTGGTACCCTTTTAAATGAAGAAAGAAAAGGAATAAGATAATCAATCATTCTTTATACATGAAAAAGTTACAGGAAAAAGAGAATAAAACAGGCCAAAAAAATAGTGTGGATAACTGGAAGAAAATCAAGATGAATCAATTTCTATTTGTACCAATAAGAAGATTAAAGTGAAATTTTTCATTATGATAGACCTAAAATATATATGGAGTGTAATTTAGTAGATCTAAAACAAAATACATCGAGTGTAATTTTACTGGTAATATACCTAGCGGAGGGATTGTGACTTTGAGCGATCAAGTCATTAATAAGCGTACATATTTTAGATATATCGAGTCTATTGTTCAGAGTAATAATGAAATAGATAGGGATATTATTAGTCGAATTCAAGTTGGATGGTTGAAATGGAGGAATGCATCGAACTTGTTGTGTGATAGAAAACTATCCCTCAAACTTAAGAGAAAATTCTATAAGATGGTGGTGAGACCTGCAATGCTTTATTGTGCATAATATTGGCCACTAAAAGTAAAGCATAATATTAAGTTAAGTGTTGCAGAGATAAGGATGCTCGGTTCAATTAGTAGCTAAACTCTTAGAGACATGATACGAAACGAGCATATACATGAAAATGTTGGAGTATCTCCAGTGGAAGATTAGATTAGAGAGAGTCACCTTAGATGGTTTGGTCAAATAAAATGGCAAACTTTCGAAGACCCGATTAAGAGAGTAGATATATTAGATTTTGCTTATGTTAAGAAACGTATAGGTAGACCTAAAAAGATTTGGTTAGAAAAATATTAGAAATGACCTTTCTTTATTAGATTTAAATGAGACTTTGACTTTTAATAGGACACAACAGAGAAAAAGGATTCATATAGCCAACCCCAACTAGAAGAATAAAGACTTTATGTTGTTGTTGTTGATAGACCTAAAATGTGTTTGTTCTAGTGGAAAGGAAAAAAAAAAGAGTAAGGGTATAACAAGTGAAATGATTGAAGGCATAAGATAAAGAGCTTTTTTAAGCTGAATGAATTAGGAGGCAGAATCAAAAAGATAAAGTGGTGTGACACTTCACCTAATTGCATCAAGCGCTAAGAGGTTGGCTAGTCAATAAATATAGTAAATGATCAAAATGATTCCTAAACTTCTAGATGTATCCATTTCAGTCCTATATATTTTTAGGTGATCGATTTAGCCCCTCACCAAAGCAAACATGAATCAATATAGTCAATTTGTCAGCTTTATCATTTCATTGAATGAAAATTGGTAGAGGGAAGCTTTCTACGAGGACATTTTGAACTTTTTAAGTTCAATCACATTAGTTTGAGTAGGTATTACGTAGTGAGATTGATATAAAAAATTTAGGATACCTTTATAAAAAGCTTCTCTCCACTAATTTCTATCCAAGTAAATGGCAAGGTTAGCTGATTTAAATTTGATCAGTTAGTAGGCTAAATTGGACATCAAGAAAAGTCTAGGACTAAAATAGACACATTTATAAAATCTAGGGATCATTTTGGTCAATTATACTCGATAAATCTTTCCATGTCAAATCCACAAACAAGAAAAATTGAGATTTCAATATATGCTTGAGATGATTATCTACTACAGCATGAGGGCGCACATTTATACATACAGGGCATTTAAATCTGAAAATCAAAAGGCCAAGAAAACCATTTAAATACAAGTTATCTTAGCTCCATGTTTTAGTTTATCTAATTCTGACCATGATGTTAGAAAGAAATCCTACTGCTACATGGATATTATATTGTATAAAACTATAAATAAGAAGTCTAATAGATTTAATGATTTGAAAATATATAATGTGCAGCAAAAAGTGCTGTAGTAAAGCAGACAGATAATAATCGATGTGAGATATATATTCATGGCAACTGTGAATGTTTCAAACTCGTTAGAGATTTAAAATCATTTACAATCTCTAATCATTACTTTGAGATGTAACACTATAACCAATTATGTACCAACTAAAGTATATACGGGCTACCTAATTAAGATTAGTTCATGAACCCAAATTAATATTAAACTCTTTACATTTAGGAAAAAATTAAATTAAAGCAGAAATAAAGTGGAAATCTAAGAAAAGGAAGAGATAATAATCATCTAAGGATTCTTAAATAAGCATAACCAACAGTAACTTACTAGTTTGAAATTGTGCTGGCACTGACTGAAATATCTGTCCAATTACCACAGACAGTATCGTCATCAGTGAAAGAGCTCCCATTGATCCATACAAAACCTGGTCATTCAAAATGCATATTGATAAGAAAAATACTTTGATAGAAAGTAGTGGAACCAGTTAACAACTGAAAGAAAAATATTATTGTAAACATGAAGTTATAAAAAGGAAAATGGAAAGAACAGATTTAACTGTTAAAAGACTTATGAAGTAAAAAAGGTTGCGTACAAACAAAAAAAGAAAAAAAATGTTTTCAAGAAAACAGCAGCCTAAATTTATGTTGCTTTTAATGTTAGCATTTATAGCATAGAAGAACTTGTGGATAAGAAGTTTCAATTTATACATACCAAAATATACCAGGCTTAAAGTTAGAACATTTTAATGCGGGCATTTGGGGCTGTTCTCTTCCAGTTGTTAGTTCATTTGCCACTGGCCTTGTCAATGCATTTTATTTCTAGTTTTTTTTTCTCATCTAGAAATATTTTACAGATGCTTCATGTTTTATTCTTTTCATTGACTAATGATAATGCTTCCTTTTTGTTTTAAAAAAAAAGTTCAAACAAAACTATAATTCCTGCAGGAATTATCCTAATTTAAATTTAAATCCATACACAAACTTTCTAAGCAAATTCAAAATTTTCAAACTCATTCTTATCCAGCAATGACCTACAATTTAATTCAACGGCTCAGCTTCTAGAGCCTTAATCTTCTTCGTATAATGTCCAATTGACAATACAAGCATGCCTATACACTGTGCGTCACATCTTTTTCAATCTCAAAGTGTGATATGCAAATGACAACCATTGTCCATTTTCATGGAGAAATCAAATCATTAGAACTCTAACGAGCATGATCCTTTCAATCTTTACACACACATATACATACATACATGTTTCGTTATATATATATACACACACACATACATATAAAATAAGGACGCAAGCTTGTTTGACATTTCTATTGATTATCAAGAGATGACGGACATCATAAATGATTTCGAAAGTCATCTGTATGCATGTATGCATGGATGCTAATACTACTGATATAACCTTCTAGAAAAAAATATTAAGTATCAAATAAATAAATATACATAGCATTTTAAGTATTTGTGAGTTTCTCATATGCTTATATGTAATATAATCTTATGGGTTGCTTGGTTGGAGATGTTTAGAGTGTATTATAATTCAAATGCCATGTTTTAAAAATTCAGGTGTTTGGGTGGCTGAAAAATAAAACCTTAATTCATTTTTTATGTATTCCATAATTGCCTAATTTGAGTTATTTCAAGATTTACTATTTAGCAAACTCTAGCCTCACTCGTGATTACACTCTTAACCCTCGCACCCTCATTACCTGCTAACAACAAACTTGCAAAGAAGCTTGTGACCCTCATTGCTCGCTCGCTAACACCAATCATGAGCCTCATTGCTCGCTCATGAACTCTAGTCGCGACTACCATTATTGCCAGCGTTGTTCACGACTACCACTATTAACGACCACATATGAGAACTCCACCAGCTCTACTATCGACCACACAAAAACATTACTCAACTCAACCTATAGTGTGATCTATTTAAAAATTAATTTTATTTGCACTCAACTAAATACATAAAAAAAATTACCAAGTGATGCACTCAACTAAATATATAAATCAAGGGCTTGAAGCATATTTGAAAGCTTTAAAATATTAATTAGGTGGTCAAATGATCTCCAAATATGGCATGCTTCTAGTTGAATCAAGCGGCTAGACGAGACGAATCTAACGAGCACAAGATACCTTAATTACGACATTATTAAGCCACTTAAGTGTTAAATGAATGATTTATGATCAAAAGAATCAATACAAGCCATCTGATGGAGAGCTCTGAATTTGCTCCATATTTTCTCTATATTTATGAGACATACCACTCTCAAAAATATATAAATAGATCCCCACTCCCCACATGAGAGGAGGGCTTGTACCCTTGGCTTCAATATAGGTCGTCAAGCCTTCATTGATCGACGACTATAGTCCTCAGATCATCATCATCACCACAACACGATCCTCCGATTACCATTGCCCATCGACTACAACCCTTCCCACCTTCGTTGCCCACAAACTATGGTCCTTCCGACTTATGTTTCCCACCAATTATGATCCTTCGACCTCAATCATCCAACTATAATCCTTTTAACCTTTCGTCACCCACCGACTACAATCACATCACCTATGTTGCCCAACAAAGGTCTCTGCAACCTCCATCACTCAATTACTATCCCTCGGATTACCGTCACCCGACTATGGTCTTTTGACCACCATCGCCCGACTATAGTCCCACAAACCTTCATCGCCCAACTACGAGCCCTCCGACCACTATCGCGCGACTATGGACCCTTTAGACTCCTCCTGACTACGAACCCTCTGGACTCTGTCGCCCGACTACGATTCCTCCGACCACTGTCACACTACTACGATTCCTCCGACCACTATGGTGCAGCAAAACTAAGGTCATAATTTTACTAATATTATAGAATTTTTGCTATGCAAGTTCAATTCACTCATGCAAGTTCAATTCGCTCATGCAAGCACCAAAGAAATATTATAAACCTACAGCAAAGGATTGTTTCATTTCGACTTTCAATCAAAAAGTCTTAACAAAATTATCAATTGGATTAATGCCATAATTATTATTGTATAAATTAAGGGCACACAATCATTAATACCATAATTATTGTTGAATAAATTAAGTCTACATAATTTTTTTTAGATCTACATAATCTGTGATCAACGTTGCACAAATTAGGGTTGTAGAATCGGCATAATTAAGTATTATAGTTATAAACATTTAGGAAAACAATTATAGGTTAAGAAGATATATGATTGTTGTAATCACTGAAATTTAGAATTGTATCATACCAATTATTTTCTATGTAAAGATGGCCTACAGATGAAGGCAAGGAGTCAAGTTTACAAGGAATAGGAGCATTACTCATCCTCAGCAGCGCTAGTCCTCCAACAATCTCATCTCTAGTGGTCGCTCGATCTCGGCATGTAGAGCATGTCTTGAAATGCAATCTAGTATAATCACCATAATCTCTATCAACAATGGTTATATCAATCTCATTTAAAGATTCTCTCACATCTCCCATGGTTTTTGGGCCTCATCGCCCAATGCTTGACTCAACAATGCCAAACTCATCTCCATCGAGCAATGCTAGCTCTCCACCAGCCTTGAAGCTCAATCTCACTACGAAAAGCTTGCCTAGACAGCAACCTAGTCTCATCACTCAGAGCTCTGCCTCCAAGTCTTCCATCACCCAATCTCACATTATGTCTTTGTCTCAAGTGATTCCTCATCGCCTCCAACGCCCTACAACGTCAATCTCTTGGTTAGATGGATTTTCTTTCAAGCCCATCTTATAGCACCATTTCTTTTTCATAACTGTTTTCTGAAAATCATCTATTGGGACTACTTGTTGAAAGTATTTAAAGGAACTTATATAGAGCTATGGCCTCGGGAATATGTGAGTTGTTGTGGACCAAGATGATTCTAGAAGACCTAAGGATCAAGTGGAATGATCCCATGACACTACATTGTGACAACAAGTCAACAATCAGTATAGCCCACAATCCAGTCCAGCATGATAGGACCAAACACATAGAAGTTGATAGACATTTCATTAAAGAAAAATTGGACAACGAATTAATATGCATTAATCATGTCTCATTAAAAGAACAACTTGCAAATATCCTTACCAAAGAAAGGATTGGACAACTCTGTCTTTCTCAAAATGATTGACAAGCTGGGAATGACATATCCATATTTCCTAGCTTGAGGGGGAGTGTTGAAATCCAGCTGTTCCTAGTGCAAAGGATCCGACGACTATGATGCACAGACATGGACACGGCGACACGGACACGACACGACACGAACATGGGACACAGCTTTTTTTGAAAATATAGGACAGGGGTACGGCGCGGACACGGCAATACATTTTTTTTATATAGTATATATATATATATATATATATATATATATGTAATATCATATTAAAAATGACAAACAATAATAAATGAATGACATGATAACTTGTCTAGTTGTAATTGTGCAAAAAGAGGAGATGAAAATACCTTCACTGCCAAAGAGATGAAAATGAGAATATTCGATGAATGGGTACTAAATGCAGACGTTGATTTGGTGTTGTGGATAGGAAATAAGAAATTTAGTTTAAATCTCGTTAAATATAAGAAATTATATTTAAAAAAAAATTATAAAATATTTAAGATACGTGTGTCAGACACGCGTGTCCAATTTATTTTTAATATTTTTTTAATCAGACATGTTTTCGGCATGTCTGACACGGTGTCGGACACTGCACGCCTCTTTGAGGAGAAGTGTCGGTGCATCATAGTCCGACGATCATAGAAAGCAATCCGTGGGGAGCTCTCATGGATTATGCCAGAGATAATTGCTTCTTTCCATAATGAAGGAACTAATTTAGGAAAGAGTATATTAGAGATTTTATGCATTAAATATGTAATTTGTTATTTTCTCATTGAGATATCTTATATAAATCTATAAATAGGAAAGAAATTATGCAATAAAGTTAAGCTTTTCTTCTCAAACCTCTGATTTTTAACAGTATCTATTAAGCCGCGTCATCAACATCTAATAGTCAGTTTTAAATCTATCTCAATCAGTGCAATATTATTCATATCTACAAACCTTCATACTACCAACATAATTACAATGGTCAAGGCATGGCAATGTGATCAATTCCTTGTGCGCAAATTGATGCTTCTTAAATAACTACCATCAATTTAATGGGAGATATCAGTTGGATATAAGCCGTAGTTATTGCTATCAAATTAAGGCTATTAAATATGTGTACTTATTGTTTTGCATATTAAGGCTAAATATTTTATGTAATTAAGTAGTACAGCCATAAATATTTAGAAAAATAACCTTATGTTCCTCATTCAACTAGATTTAATTGTTCTAACTGCTAAAATTTAGCCTTATATCATGCCAATTATTTTCCATATAATAATTAAAACACTTTGTATGAAGGTAATGAGTTCAATCAACGAGCAAATGTAAAATTAGTCATCTCAACTCACAATATTCTTGTATTATTCAACTTTCCAATTGCCATTTTATAATGTAAATAATGGATTTGTAAACAACAGTACATATAATCATTGGCTAAAAAGGATTTACTTGAGCAAACTTCATTCTTATGGTACCTTTTGGATGCTAAAAGGCATGTCCAATTTTCCTTGATAGCAAATAAGAATATGGAAATGAATATGAAGAAACTTTTGCACTTATGGTTAAAATGACTATATACAAATGGCTATCTCTATCATTGTGTCACAAGACCGTCCAGTCCACCAAATTGACGTTACAAATGTCTTTCTTCATGGAGGAAATTTATATGTTTCTTCCAACTAGTGTTTCTTCCCTTTACTTTGATGTATATAGAATAAAGTGCTATTCATATGGATTAAAACATGTTTCCTCAACATGATTTGATAAATTTTGGTCAGCCTTACTTTGTCCTTTAAACAAAGCTAATATGAGTCATCTTTATTTTTTTGTAAGACATCTAGTGGTATTGTTACCTTTCTTCTAATTAATTTTGATGATATTATCATTATATGGATAGATTTGATATTGATCACTCGCCAAAATATCTTCAGACCACATTTCATTCGAAGAATATTAGTGCCCTTACTTTTTTAGGTTTGAAATTTTACACTAATCCATCTGGTATTTTCTTTAACCAAAATAAGTATAGAACTAACAAATTACTTTGCCAAACTTCCAAACTACATTTCTTATAGATTATCCAACAAACATGAGCACAAAGTATCATAACAATAAGGGGTTGTTTGGTATCGGATTTATGTTGGGATTTAAGTCGGATTTACGCTAAATCCAGCCAAACAGTTTTTGTGCGTGCGTTAAATCCGGAGATGTCATAAATCCCGAAATTTTTTAGGGATTTACGGCTTAAATTCCGGATTTACTAAATCCCTTGGTTCGGTGGATTTAACGGGATTTAGCCAAATAAGCGCGCGAAAGGGAGAAAGTTACCTTCACAGCTAGCGAGCTCCTGTTCTTGCTTACGATCAAAATGTCGTAACTTCCGATCGGACGGGAGGGAAAGTCGTAGAAGGAGCGAAGTCGAACAGCCATGAAGGAGCCGAAGAAGCGACGCGTGCAATCTATACACCTCCTACAAAGCAACGAAGCCGAGAAGCAAGGACGAAAAGAGAGGATGAAAGGCAAACCTAGACGCCTTATGTTATTATTGATTAACTTAATTAATATAATTTAAATTATTAATAATTAAGTAAATTAATTAAATAACTAATTGTATAGTTAGTGCATAAATTAATTATCTAATTTAACTTAATTGTATAATTAGTAATTAATATTAATATAATTAGCTTAATTAATATAACTTAAAATATATATTATTATGTAGATAATTAATAGTGTAATTAATAGTTAATAAGTACTTTGTACATAATATCTTATTAAATTCATAACACATTAATTTTTATTTTTAATTATACATTTATTTTTAAATTTATAATTATTTTCTTCACATTTAAATCCCTAACTACCATAAATCTTGAAATATGTACCAAACAGTTTCTCAGAATTTAACAGGATTTAGCATTTGACATACCAAACAGTTTTCAGGATTTAACACATTTCAGATTTACTAAATCCAGATTTACAGGATTTACTAAATCCTACTAAAGTTAAATCCCACTTGTTGCCAAACAGCCCCTAAGGGTGGTCTTCTCCCAGATCAAATTATATTTTGCCAACACAAAGTATCATAATAATAAGGGTGGTCTTCTCCCCGATCAAACTGTATTTCGCCAGCTAATAGGTAGTTTCAACTATTTGACAATTATTAGACATGTTATTCTTTCATTGTTCAATACATCTGTTAATTTATGCAAACTCTGTCATTTATGATTAGCTATCATTTGTCGAATCATTTGTAATCTTATTGGGACACCTAATCAAGATATGTTATATCCAACTAGTTCATTCATTTTATGACATATAGTGATTTTGATTGGGTCAACTATCCTAATACCTGACAGCCTATCATGAACTGGTGTATGTTTTGTTGTGACTCATTCATTTCATGGAAGAGTAAGAAGCAACCTAATGTGTCTAAATCATCCATTAAGATTGAAAATCATGCAATGTTTGTTGCATGCTCTGAGATTACCAAGCTTCATTTACTTCTATTTGTACTTATTTCTTCTCTAAAAAATATCACTCCATGTGAACAATGCTAGTAAACAACAACAACAACAACAATAACATCAAGCCTTCATCCCACTATGTGAGATCGGCTACATGAATCCTTTTTCTCTATTATGTTCTGTTAAAAATCAAATTCTCATTTAAATCTAATAAAGGAAAGTCATTTATAATATTTTCTAACCAAGTCTTTTTAGGTCTACCTCTACCTTTCTTAACATAAGTCACATCTAATACATCTACTATCCTTACTGGGTCATCGGAAGGCCACCGTTTTATGTGACCAAACCATCTAAGATGACTCTCTCTAATCTTATCTTCCACTATAGCTACTCCAACCTTTTCACGTATATGCTCATTTCGTATCTTATCTCTAAAAGTAAGCCACTCATCCACCTAAGCATCCTCATCTCTGCAACATTTAACTTAATATTATGCTTCTCTTTTAATGGGCAACATTCTATACCATAAAGCACTGCAGGTCTCGTCACCATCTTATAGAATTTTCACTTAAGTTTGAGGAGGTCATTTCTATCACACAGCAAGCCCGATGCATTCCTCCAATTCAACCATCCAACTTGAATTCTACATGTGAACAATGCTAGTGACATACAAATTATTATTCATATTAGTTATCATAAATGGATTAAGCATATTGAAATTGATTGTCATTTGATTCAAGAAGCTTTCAACACATTATTTCTCTTCTACATATCTACAAACCTTCAGATTGCAAACATAATTACAAAGGTCAAAGAACAAAAATGCCATCAATTTCTTGTTGGCAAATTGATGCTTCTTAAATAATTACCATCAATTTAATGGGAGATATTATTTGGATATATGTCATAATTATTGTTATCAAATTAAGGCTATAAAATATGTGAACTATTTGGTGTGCATACTAAGGTTATACAATTTATGTAATTAAGTAGTATAGTCATAAATATTATGAAAACAATTTTATGTTCCTCATTCGACTAGATATGATTATTGTAATCACTAAAATTTAGCCTTATATCATGCCAATTATTTTCCATATAATAATCAAAACACTTTGTATGAAGGTAAGGAGTTCGATTGACCAATTGACAATGTTATTACACACAAATGTAAATTTAGTCATCTCAACTCACAATATTCTTGTAGTATTCACCTTTTCAGTTGCCTTTTTTTTCTTTCAAGGGAGATCATAATAACTATTATTATAATATAAATAGTGGATTCATACAACAGTAGCTATGATATATTTTGTTTTGAAAAAGTGTCACTACTACCTAAGGAAGCCCTAGAAGTCCTATGAAAAGTAAACATCGGAATTAGAAGACTAATCCGTTCAAAACTGGTTATGCTAAAGATAGTCCCTATAGAATATTAGTCAAAAGTTGATACTATTTAAAGCAGGAATTCACAATGAAAAGAAGAAAACATGAAAAAGAAGATAAAATAGATACCAGTGCTTTATCATATTGCATAGCCAACAAGGCAGCTATGAAAAAGGTCTGCAAAGAAAAAGACATTATAAACTAAATCAGATTCCAATTTATGATTGGATAACACATAGTACAGTTTCATGAAGCATGCAGCAAGAAATAATCAAACTTAGGAAGATTACAAAAGGTACAAATGATGAACGAACAAAATAATTCATTTGATAAAAATGAACACGAAGCATAATTAGTTCACTAGAAGAAAATGGTGCCATGAAGTGTTGCCAGTTCATTGAAAGTTGTAAAGACTAAATGTGTGCAACGACACAAAAGGTCTTCAGTAGAAAAGTAATTATCACAAATTAAAACATAAAGATAGACTCTCGACTGATTTGAATAGCATTTAAGGTAAACGGTGTAAATAAATTAGTTGAAACTTAAAGCAAGTGTCATGCAGTGAAACAAAACAAAAACGTGTCATGTTAGATTCTTTACCATAAAATGTGCACTTTGTACCATCATAGAGTGCATTTTGGTTTCCAAAGAACTTTTTCATAATGCAGAACAAATTTCCACCATTTTAAAGCCCAAAAACAAAATGGCGGAAATTTAAAATACTGGAAACTTGTCAAAAGTACAAATGCTAAAGCTGATGGAGAATCAAAATTGGTTCAAATTTAGTTAGTTGAGAGATCAAATTCATCTAGAAAAATGTGAAAGTAAAATGGACACATCTAATAACAATATGGACCAATTTGGTCATTTGTTCCACTTTCCTAGTATGAGGGAGTCATTTGTCTAAAATAAACCCAACTCTCAAGCTTCCTTTTCCCTTGAGGTATCTTTTGAAGGAAACTAGATGCTCCAACGTTTAACAAGAACTCTTAAACTAGAAAGATGAAATTATAATTAAATGTATGTAAACTAGACCTAATAACATCTGTATAAAATGAATAACCTTGTCTCCAATCTCAGAAACGAATATCAGCATAAATGCAGCAGTGAACCCTGACTTAGCTAGCCCAGCTACAATTGCAGAAGGGCCTCCCTTCGTGAATGCAATAGCTAAGAACACTACTAAGCATACTAGTAACACACCAGCAATTGACAATGGATATTGAATTCCAGACAGATGTTTCGTCCTGCCATTGCAAGAAAGAAAATTAGCATAGCTTGCAATATATATCATGAAGCCATCTATGAAAATCTTAAGAACATTACTAGAAATATGAACATGTATTTTGAAAGATTAATAGCTTCACAAGAATTAACACAGCCCATAAAAGGGAACGGAGCAGTAGAGGACAGAAATTAGTCCAAACAACATCAAAAGATCAGGAAATAATAATGATTGTTCACAGAAATAACAATGATTGTTCTAGGACCACAAATAGAAAGTGGTGTTTCTTATGCTTGGACTCTGATTCCTAGATTATGAAAGTGGATTTCCTAAATCAGAATACAAAATCGATAAAATTTTTTGGAATAGCAGAATATGGTAACAATTATTTGGCCTGTTGTATTTACTATGAAAAACTGTGTTATTAGTACATTTTCTATATTGATTTATCAACATCTTTCAATAATAATTACACAAATGATATTCCAATCGTATTTTATTAGCATCTTGATGTTGCCCAAATGAAAAGCCACATATACATCAAGCTATATGAGTTGCCTGATTCACTGGCATCTGATATTGTAATGTTATGGTATCAGCAAATGCTAGTTTGCTTTTGTTGGATTTTTTTCTTGAACCGTCAGTGAACCTACATGACCCATGGATTAGATGTAATTACATTTATAAAAGATTTCATGATAGTAAATTATGATAGTAAGCCTGCTTAGGTATATGCTACAACAATATCAAGCATTTATCCTCGACGTGGGGTCGGCTACATGAATCATTTTTCTCTATTGTGTCCTATTAAGAGTCAAATTCTCATTTAAATCTAATAAAAAAAGTTATTTATAATGCTTTCCAACCAAGTCTTTTTAGATCTATCTCTATTATTCTTTAACATAGGCTAGATCTAATACATCTACTCTCCTAATTGGGTCATCAGAAAACCAACATTTTATATGACCAAACCATCTAAGGAGACTCTCTCTAATCTTATCTGCCACTGGAGCTGCTCCAACCTTTTCACGTACATACTTGTTTCGAATTATGCCTCTAAGTGTAAGGCCAGTCATCCACTTGATCATCCTCATCTTTGAAACACTTTACTTAATTTTATGCTCTCTTTTAATGGCTAACATACTGCATCATAAAGCATTGCAGGTCTCACAACCACCTTATAAAATTTTCTCTCAAGTTTGAGGGGCATTTTTCTATCACACAATAGGACCAATGCATTCCTCCACTTCAACCATCCAACTTGAATTCTACTAATAAGATTCTTATCTATTTCACCATCACTCTGATGTTTGAACAATATAACTGAGATATCTAAAATGTGCATTCTTTTAATAACTTGATTACCCAATGTGACAATTTCACCACTAGATTTATTATTACAAAAATTACACAACATGTATTAAGTTTTAAATTATATCGAATGAAAACCTTTAGACTCTAATATTGACCTCCATAATTCAAGCTTTGCTTCGACTCCCTCTCTAGTCTTATCAACAAGAAAAATATCATTAGCAAAAAACATACAATAGGGTACATCCTCTTGCGAATGTCTAGTAAAAACATCCATGACTAAATCAAAAAGATAAGAGCTTAAAGCTAATCCTTGATGTAATCCAATTGAAATATGAAAATACTTGGCCAAATCTCATTGTGTTTGAACACAAGTAGCAGCTCATGCATACATATCCTTAATAACTTTAATATAAGAAATATTAACTCCTTTCTTTTCTAGAACTCTCCAGAGCACTTCTCTTGGAACTTTATCCTATGCTTTTTCTAAATCAATAAATATCAAATTTAGATTCTCCTTACTCTCTCTATACCTCTAAATCAAACCTCCAAATAAATGTATAACTTTCATTGTAGACCTACCCAGCATGAATCCAAACTGATTTTGAGAAACATGAGGATCATGTCGTAGACTATGATCAATTACTCTCCCATAATTTTAATGTATGACATATTAACTTAATTCCTTTGTAATTCGCACACTCATATGCTTTAACATATGCTAATGACTTAAAATACCATAGAAGAACTAAATATATAAAAATAAAGTATCATTTCTCGTGAGATATGATAAACCAAAGAGAATTAATATTGCACTACATAACTCTAAAGCATATGGTGGTGGATTTGTTCACCAAACCAATAGCAAAGGATTTGTTAATTTAAATACTAAAGTATCTAAGTTTAAAAAAGAATATAAGATATTCTTAAATGTAGAAAGTCAAATTGAGCAATTTTATTAATGAAAGTTGTATTTATGATTAAATACTTAATTCTTCGATAGTATCCAATTGATAAGTGTTATAATTATTAATAGGACATTAAATTATATAGTAGGCCAGAATGCATTAGCACATGACTTATCACCTTTTTCATTGGGCAAGCGGCAAATGTTGCATTAATACATTTGTCTGATGCTTGTCACAATGGGAAGAGATAATACATAATCAAAGCATTATTATTGGTGAGCATACAAGACAAGGAAACGTTGCACATTAATGTAGTGACTAACATCCCTAAAATCTTAGGAAACATCTTTTAAGTCTTAAGATATCACCTTGGTTTGAGTGCCAATATGAGGCCTATCAAAATTCATCAAGACATCTTTAAGTCAATATGAGTTGACATTGATTTACCAATCATCCATTAAATCTTAAAAGACCAAGCAAACCTCTAGTGGGTGGATTCAAATAATAGTTGGAGATCTCCAGTTGGTTACATGGCATTGTGACAATGAAAGACAAGTATATTGTCAAGCTAGATAACATAGCATATAACTTGATGAGCTTCAAGATACATGCTTTTCAACAGCATGCGTCTAAAATGAAAGAGGATATAAACAATTACTTCCAAGTCCTTTAATCTGTCCATTTCATCATACCATTAAAACTTTCAACGATATTTCAAGATTGGTTGGAGATTGATTACTTATGCTGCTACCAATAGGCATGATTAATGTAATGTGATGGGACATTTCTAGGAAATAATTTATCTAATTCTAACAAAATATATGTTTGAGAGGAGGGTAAGCTTTGTGCATTCTCACATTAATATATGTAGATCGACCCGTTAAGCTATCATTTAAAGTAAAATTTTTTATGGATGTTGCATGGCATCATCAGGAGGGATTGAAAGTTGCTCAACCTAATGCAAAATAAAGGAATTAGGAGTCTGCAAGGACAAATTTGTTTGGCTTTTTATTATATCTTTTGCAAAATGGTTTAATGTTGGTCTCCATCCTGGCCTTTAAAAGCTTCTAAACGGGATGGTTTTGGACTATGTCTGTGCAGCCACAACAATCATTGGCCATATGAAAAAGAGATGCTAGAAATGAAGAAGCGTTTCATGCACTTTAGTTAGGCTGGAGTTGATAAAGCATCATGTGAAAGTGGTTTTAGGTTTGGCCGGCAATGGGCTAGGAGTCTAACCTGCACCAAACTGGAGATTTCAAATCATTGGAACCACCAGACCATTCAATGTAACCACCTTGAGGTAGTAGTGAAGTTAAAAAAATTGGCTTTGCATGAACAAAAATGAGATTTATGAAATGCATGCAGTGAAAAAGCAAACAAACTATTGATATAGAAGAAAACCAATCCACTACCATCTCTATTCTCATCATCCATTGCCGCATAGTTGAATGCTTAGTTCTTTTCTTCACTTTCTTCTCCAGGAGTTTTCAAGGCATTTAATTCAGCATGAGATCGAGCTTGAATGACTCATGTATGCACGAGAGAAAGTAACATGCAATTCAGACTTCCATTATGTTGAGGTAATGTTCCACCAAATTTTACTGGTTTGGTGGCATTTTCGAATAGAAATTGTAGATAACATTAAAGTCAAATCTTCTTGCCATATAGATGTTGAGCAAACCTTTGACAGCTAAATATTGGACATACAATGGCAAAAATAAATGACAAAGAAAAAAATTATCATAATCACAGTTAATTATTCTAAATAGCAAAAGCACTGACTTTGTTAGATAACATTATTATTTAAATTACCAAGATAATACTGTAATAAATATCATTAAACCAAACAAACCTCAACTAAATACACAGCATTTGCAAATAACAAATGAAAGATAACATGAACATCATAATAATACTAACAACTTAACTATAATTGAATACAACAACAATCTTTTATCCCGCTCCATGGGGTTAACTATAATTGAATAAATTTAAAAAAAAAAAAAATACCCCTTTGCATGATGAGCTTTCTAAAACCATGCAACCATTCCAAACAAATTACAGAACTACAGCACGCACGATTTAGGAGAAGCCTGAGAATTAGAACCCCTTTCCAGATTCCTTTGGCTGATCTCTCGACTCCCATCTTCATAACTCCCAGTTTCAATATCTATGTTAGACGACCGCACTTTAATGATGCTGCCATAACATGTCAATCTCGATATGCATCTGTGTGTTACAACAAATAGCTAAAATTTAATGAGCACAAAACTAAAAAAATAAAAAGAGTGATTTGTTTAAAAACGACGGTTGCAAAATGTGCAGAAAGAATTGCGCGACCTGCACTTCCCCCATGGGGTGGAACCGTAAAAGTAGCTCCCTCCTGAACCAAAGGGCTTCGACCGTTGCAAAGCCCAATCATCCCTGAACTTGAAGGACCTCGAGGTGCTCTCTGCTAAGGGGGGGAGAGCCCAACCTTGAGAGGACGAGGATGCGACCAAAACTGAAAAGGGGTATAGTGAGGAAGAGCAGCCGGTTGCGGCCGCCATGCTGAAGGAGTTCAGGCCGACCGCCGAAGCTAAATTCGCCGGATAAACGACTGCATAGCAATATTGCTCAGAGATGACGGTTGCTATTAGAACTTAGAAGTGGGAGGATATGGTCAAACCTTTCTTAGCGCTAGTCTATCTCATTCTTCATTCTTAGTAATGAAGTAATTTAAAAGGGACAATTGACTAAAATTTATCATAATCCCTAAATTTTTTTAAAGTAATTATATTTAAAAAATTTATTTCAATCAAAATAGTTTTTCTATTAACATTAAAATATTTTTTTAAAATATATCACAATAACTTTTAATTCAATCAAATCTCAAAATATATTTTTAATAAATTTTGAAATTTGTTACAACCATATCTGAATCTTTTAAATCCTAAATATGATTCAAATAAAGTTTAAGCATGATTGGAATAGAATTTGAACAAGATTTTTATAGCATTCAAAAAATGCTTGAACAAGACTCTACCAAAGTTCAGATAAGATTCAAATATGGTTCATGTATGATTCACACAAGATTCTAATGAGTAGATATAGAAAAATGCAATCAAACAACATTAAGTGATCATACAACAACGTCTCTATCCCACTACGTGGGGTTGGCTACATGAATCCTTTTTCGCAATTGTGTCCGGTTAAAAATCAAAGTCTCATTTAAATCTAATAAAGAAAGATCATTTCTAATATTTTCTAACAAAGTCTTTTTAGGTCTACTTCTACCTTTCTTAACATAAACCAAATCTAATACCTCAACTTTCCTAACCGAGTTATCAGAAGGTCTCTGTTTAATGTGACTAAACGATCAAAGGCGACTCTCTCTAATCTTATCTTCCATTGGAGCTACTCCAACCATTTCACGTATATGCTTATTTGGTATCCTATCTCTAAGGGTCAAGCCACTCATCAACCTAAGCATCCTCATCTCTGCAACACTTAACTTAGTATTATGCTTCTCTTTTAATGGCCAACATTCGGCACCATAGAGCATTGCAGGTTTCACCAGCATCTTATAGAATTTTCCCTTAAGTTTGAGGGGGGCATTTCTATCGCACAATAAGTCCGATGCATTCCTCCACTTCAACCATCCAACTTGAATTCTGCTGATAATATCCCCATCAATTTCACCATCACTCTGAACAATAGATCCAAGATATCTAAAACATGTACTCTTATTAATGACTTGATCGTCCAAAGTCACAATCCCCTCACTATGTCTATTGCTACTAAAATTACACTCCATATATTCAGTTTTAGATCTACTCAAGAGAAAACCTTTAGACTCTAAAGTTGACCTCCATAATTCAAGCTTACCTTCAATTCCCTTTCTAGTCTTATCAACAAGAAGAATATAATCAACAAAAAAGCATACACCAAGGTACATTTTCTTGCAAATGTCTAGTGAAAACATCCATGACTAAAGCAAAAATATATGGACTTAAGGCTGATCCTTGATATAATCCAATCGAAATAGTAAAATACTTTGTCAAACCACCTTGTGTTTGAACACAAGTAATAGCTCCTACATACTTATCTTTAATTATTTGAATATAAGCATTATTAACTCCTTTCTTTTCAAGAACTCTCCATAACACTTCTCTTGGGACTTTATCATATGCTTTCTCTAAATCAATAAATATCATATGTAGATCCTCCTTATTCTCTCAATATTTCTCTATCAAACCTCTCAATAAATGTATGGCTCCCATAGTAGACCTACCCGGCATGAATCCAAATTGATTTTGAGAAACATTAGTATCACGCCGCAACCTACGCTCCATAACTCGCTCCCATAGTTTTAAAGTATGACACATTAACTTAATTCCTCAATAATTCGCACACTCATGTGCATCACCTTTATTCTTAAAATACCTAAGAAATCCAAATTGTCATTTGTCATAAAAACTAAGCTCAAACACTCCTAATACATTTCATGAATGATTTGGCTCAAGGCTAACATAAACTCAAATCCCTTTGATCATGGTTAATCTAACTTTGACAAAAACCCAAAATAAACACTAAAATTAACCTAAAGTCCAAATCAGATTATTTTCCCCTAGTGGTGGTTCTAAATATTTTTAATTCATATTAGAGTCATTTGTAACCAATTCCCATCTTTAGTTAACCCATTTTGACCAAAAGTTGCAAAATTGCCAAAAAACCATAGGGTACCCTTTACAAGCTCCTTAAGTAAAATCCTTAAACCAAACCATGGGAATGGTTTTAAATGACGTTAAATTGATTTTAGAAACATTAGAATCATTCCCTACTCTTGTTCAACCCTTTTGACCAACAAAGGATAAAATTATCATAATGCCCTTATAGGATCCTTAATGAACTTCATAAGCCCAATCCTTAGATTTTGGGTTAGTATTAGTCTCAAATCACCCTAAAACTATTTTAGAGACATTTAAACCCATATATAGCTTAGTATCAACCCATTTGACCACAACAATCCAAAATTATCAAAATAACCCTAGTCCTAACACAATGACCTAAACTCAATTAGAAAACCCCATCATAACTAATTATTTCAAACCAACCATTAGATCATTTAGTGTTAATGTTGGCCCTTGATCAGCCCTTTTGACCAATGATAATCATAGTTGAACTAAATTACCAAAATTTCCCTACACCCTTACTTATATGTGTCATAAAAGATATAACTCATCCTAAAAGTAGAACATAGCATCATGCATAAATTTAATCCTAAGGGTATATGTCATGTCAATTGGTATAACGCCAACCACAATGTAATTCACTATATTATCATACCAAAGTACTAATATTTCAGCACTCTTTGTCACTTAATGCAAATAGTTTATTGCATGGAAAAACCCCATTTATGTCACTCTTGTCATTAAAAGGTTTTTCTAATTCTAATATAGATAAATGATATGGTTCATAGTTCCCTTTCTATATAATATTTCCACATTAAATTCTTGTAGTAAGAGAATCCATCTAATTAGCCTAGGTTCATCATCTTTTTTGGTTACTGGATATTTGATATCATGGTGGTTAGTGTAAACAATAACTTTCATGCAAATTAAATATGAACTAAACTTATCAAAAGAAAATACTATTGCTTGTAATTCTTTTTAAATTATTATATAATTAATTTGTGTTTCATTATATGTTCTACTAGCATAGAATATAACATGAAACCTTCTATCAACTTTTGTTGTAATACTGCTCTAAAAGGAAAATACTATTGCTTGTAATTCTTTTTCAACTATTATATAATTAATTTGTGTTTCATTATATGTTATACTAGCGTAGAATATAACATGAAACTTTCTATCCACTTTTGTTCTAATATTGCTTCTACAGTAAAGTCATTAGCATCAGTCATAAGTTCAAATTTAGACAAATCAGGTGCAATGATAATGGGTGCCTACAAATGATTTTTCAAAGTTTCAAGAGCTTTTAGGAACTCATGTCGAAATAAAAAAGGGGTGTACTTTTCTAATAGATAGCATAAAGGCTTCTTAATTTTAAAAAGTCTTGAATGAATCTTCAATAAAATCCAATGCGTCGTACAAAACATCTCAATCCTTTAAAAGAAGTAGGATGTGACAAAATTTCTATTACATGAATTTTTTCCTAGTCTACCTCCAAACTTTTTCCAAATATCCTATGGCCCAAGATAATACCCTATGTGACCATGAACTAACTCTATTCACATTTCAGCACTTCACATATTTTTAAAATCGATGCTAAGTGCTCAAGACAATCAAATGAAGTACCAAAAAAAAAAATCATTCATAAAGATCTAAATGCCCTTTTCAATCAAATTTGAACATCTAAAATGTTACAGGGGAATTATAAAGTCCAAAAAGCATTCTACGAAAAGCAAATGTACCATAAGAGCTTAGTAAAATTGACCAAGCCAGACCCTAAGACCACTTCCATTGGATTCACTGGGGCAAAACAAGTTTGCTGAGCCTAGAACCAGATCCTGGTTCAACCTGGATAATCAAGTCAACCTAGGTTGACCAAACTTGCCCAAATTCCTCTTATTTAGGTTTCAATCAATTTCAAATCCTCTTGAGCTCAATCTCTAATCCATTTGGGTTTTATTGATCATGTTGACCTATTAAACACTTGGCTTGGTCAACCTAACCCTTATTTGGTCAAATTTGACCTATTTAAGTCAAATACATGACCCCTTTGGCATTTAAACCCATCCAAGCCTCCCCTTGAACCCAAACATAGCCAAGGAAGCTCAGTTCCCTTCTAATTAACCCTAGAATCCATCCTAGTACTCCATCTTAGTCCTCCCCTCTAAGGCTTCATTAGAGGGGACCTTGCATACAATTCCTTCCTAAGACTCCCCAAGTCTGAGAGTTCTCTTGTGTGAACTCTCCAAACCTCCCCCGCCTTTACCAAGCCAAACCTTCCATCAATGCCCCGTCAACGGCGGGATCTCCAGCAAACTGAGCCTTAATTCCTTCCAAGGTAATTTGTCATCGATCTAAAGCTTTTCAGAATGCAATTTCTTCTACAAATAGGAGCGTGGACAGTCTACAAGTGCAACAAGCCCAAGCCCATGATCTTGTGAATCCAACATTTGGATTAGGTATAATCTCAAATCCTAGTCTAGAACACTTAGATATAGATAACTTTTCATAAAGTGTGTTTTAAACCATGATATTGGTCCCCCATGACGAATGCTCTTCATGTATAGATAATACATTTAAAATTTAGTTGATTTGATCGATCTGATCGAGAGAATGAGCCATTTTCTTATATTAGGGTTTGGTTTATGTACCCTTAGCTTTGTATAAGATCTGGATCATTGATCACATGAACAATGATCCGGATCTATCCTTTCCACGGCATTTATTTGATCGTAGATTTGATTCCGCTATCAATTGTTCTATTCGGCTTGATCCAAGATGTTGCTTCAGTTCAATGGGAGATTAGACAGCGTGGATACACTGTTGACATGGTTAATAAAATTGCGTTCGTGATTTCATTATCTGGCAATCATTGTCGCGGTGCAATTACTGCATTGCTAGGCAACGATTAATCGTGGTTTGAGTTGACCATCCCACTTCCCCACTAGTCCTCCCGCAGCTTTTTTTATTTAAAATTAGTTTTAAATTTTAATTTAAATCCTTTTTAAACTAGAATTCTT